GTTTTTTATGCCTTACTATACTATGAAATTTTTATGACATTTTTTATGCCTTACTATACTATGACGTTTTTATGACTTTTTCTATGCCTTACTATACTGTGACGTTTTAGGCCTTCTTATGCAATGACCTTTTTAAGTCTTACTGTACTATTAATTTTTTATGTCGTAATATAATATGACGTTTTTTTGATATTCTTATGCCTTAGTATACTATGGCGTTTTTATGATATTTTTATGCCTTACTTTTACATGACGTTTTTATGCCTTACTATCATATGACATTTTTATTACTTTTTTATGCCTTACTATAGTATGACGTTTTTATGATGTTTTTATGCCTTACTATACTATGGCGTTTTTATGACGTTTGTATGCCTTACTATACTATGACGTTTTTATGTGTTAATATACTGTGACGTTTTTATGCCTTACTATAATATGACATTTTGATGCCTTGCTACTATGACGTTTTTTATGCCTTACTATACTATGACGTTTTTTATATCTAACTATACTATGAAATTTTTATGACATTTTTTTGCCTTACTATACTATGACGTTTTGATGCCTTACTACACATAATGTCTTTCTGATGTTTTTATGCCTCAATATACTATGACGTTTTTTATACCTTACTATACTATGACTTTTTTATGCCTTACTATACTATGACATTTTTAAGCCTTACTATACTACTAAGTTTTTTTATGTAATAATATACTATGACGTTTTTATGCCTTACTATACTATGATATTTTTAAGCCTTACTATACTATTACGTTTTTTTATGTCATAATTTAATATGACTTTTTTATGCCTTACTATACTATGGCGTTTTTATGACGTTTGTATGCCTTATTATACTATGACGTTTTTTATGCCTTACTATACAATGACATTTTTATGCCTTACTATACTATTGCATTTTTATGCCTCACTGTGCTCTGACATTTTTATGCCTCACAATATTATGACAATTCTTTATTTCATAATATAACATGATGTTTTTTATGCCTTACTATACAATGACGTTTTTATGACGTTTTCAAGCCTTACTACTCTATATCATTTTTATGACTTACTATACTATGACGTTTTGATGCCTTACTATACTATGACGTTTTTACATTATGTATGACTTAGTATCCTCTGACGTCCATATAACGTTTTTTATGCCTTACTATACCGTGACAACTTTTATGTCTTACCATACCATGATGTTTTTTATGCTATTGCGTTTTAATGCTTCACTATGCTCTGAAATTTTTATTCCTTACTATACTGTGTAAATCTTTATGCCCTGCTATTTAGTTTTCATGCTTTTTATATATTATGACATTTTAATGCCTTATACTGTGAGTTATGACGTACACACATGACATATTTGTCCCTTTATAAAGACTGTGTCATCTATAAAAGGATATATTATTATGACACATATACATTCCATGGATATATGAGGAAATTTATTACATATATGAAATACTCATGTGCATGCTCATTAAAATTCTCTATTTTTGTATATGATTTTCTTAACAATTTACCTTTAACCATACATGTGTGTCTTGTATATTTACATATATAATGAATATATACTGACAGGCTTTGTGATGGATATATATTTATTTAACATTTGTCCATTTATATTAAAACCTATAAAAAAAACAGACATACTAAAATGCATGTTTCTATTAGCTAGACATTTATATGATATTATTCCAATTTGTTACAGGTTTCACATGTAATTTTTACATATATAGGTTAAACTGTAAATACATATATGGTTTTACTTCATATGTACATATATTTCATACAGTACATGGAGATTCAACACTTGTACATAGATTACATTTGCGTATGAGCATTTCTGTTTGGTTGACAGCATTAAAAATTCAAACAATTAAATTCTGCCCAGGGCCCCATGAAGGCTTGGGCCAGCTCTGGGTATTATTATTTATTTATTCATTCATTCATTCATTCATTCATTCATTCATTCATTCATATTCATTCATTTAAAAGCCATATTATCAAAGACCTTAACCGGGTCCTGTCACTTCATATCTTACAAACGTTAACGTCGTTTACGTTCCTTGTCACCAATTATTTGGGAAAAAAGCAACACATAGAAGAGTACATGCTCTTACTTTTAAAAGCAGAAATGGTGTCGTCAGCAGGTGATTTTCGTGTTTTCCCGAAAGTGGCCGAGTTATACAAGTCGCTTTTGGTTCAGACTGGCTGAAAGTTTGTTTCAGAACTCCGTGTGTGTAAAATTGAAATCCACAAGCGTAGAATTTAGATCAACTAATGCTTTTTCGTTTCACAAATTGAAAATTGATTCACAAATGTTTGTTTGAAAGTTGTAAATGTAAGGAAGAATTTCACAAATGCTTTTCATTTATTTGTAAATTAATTGAATTAATTCACAGAAATAATTGTTTCATATTTGATAAGATATTTTTATGAATTTGCAAATTTATTTTTTGTAATTGTGGAAGGTGTTTTATATTTACAGATCACACATTTTACACGGATTGTTGATCTGTTCACACAAATAATACTGCAATAAATCTACCTCGATATGGAAGTGTCAAGTATTTTTATTCCAGTTACTATATGGCTTTGAAGAACTTCTCTCCCCACGACTTACCCAGAGGCACCTTGGATTGATGCAGAAAACCCTTAATTCTGTGGCTGCTTTGTATCTTTCCTTCTTTCTAACCTGCATTGTTTCTTGGCACTGTCGCACTTAATGTGAAAAACAAGGATTACATAAAGTTACAAAAGCTTATGTATTTCCACAGTGCATGCTCAAGCTCCTTACACCTATCAAAACATTGTTCCGTCCCAGCTCCAACCAAAGGCATGCTCTGAGGTCTTGATTGGAAAAGAGACACTAACTGTTAAGTTTCACTCTTTTCTTAGAGACACAACTCTCCAGACAAGTGTTGTCCCAGAGTAAACCAGGTATCAACTTTTGCTCTTATCTTATTTCTCCCTCTGGTAATGGCAGAAGTTCACTGTTTTATTGTAATATACTCTGGCTGTTGGGGTTAGATGTTGAGGCAAAAATCTATGTCTGCTTTCATTTATTACCCTCAACTCAAATACTTTTAGCCTTTCCAAGCCTTTTAGCGTGTATATGGCCTCTAACCTGGAAAAAGTTGTTCTGCAAAAACTCATCCTGCAACATTATTCCTCTCTCTGTTGAATTGTTCCATTAACCCCTGTGCCACAACTGACCTGCTCTGTCCTGTTCCAGGGTTAATCGTTCAGTGGTGGTGGATATGTAGGCTATCAAGTTGTGATCAAGTAACAGATGTTAGGGCCATTGCTATATTTGGACTAATGGTCCAGTGTGTGTTTTAGGGTCAATTGAGTGTCCTTATTGCCCATTTAACTGTTCTGGTGCGTAGTGTTTGACCCAGAAACAATTACAGCACACTGTCACAGTACGTTGGTTACGCCAGAGAACATGAATGAAGCTGTGTGGTGTTTTGGCTGCTATTGATGTCGGTTCGAGTTCATCGGGTGTTTGGCTGTTAGCCTTTCATTCTAGCGCACATGAGTTCATGGAGAGGATCTTTACTGACACAGCCAGCACTTACAATCTGATATTGTGTCACTGCTGTACAACATGTTCAATACGGGGCCTTACACTGTTTATATAATGTAGACTGCAAAGCTTGCAGCACAACTAATTGTAATAGTAGCAATGATTCTGAGTAGCTTTTAATGTATTTTTTAAGTATTTCCATTTACTTGCGATAAATATCTTTCATTACAAATTTGGAATAGAAGTGTTACTGGAGTCCCTCAAGACTGACTGAAAATGAGCCATAATGTCTGCTATCTGAAAGCATAATCAAAATTTTCAGTAATAGTTATATAATTATTATCTCCCTCTGTTGAAATCACATTTGAATGGGCTGAGAATTACCGTTGCCATTCTGTAGAGATAAATAATTTAAAAGAACACTAGTGTTACTGCCATGCTAGACTTCTTAAGTGACATTTTAATAACCCACAGGAACCATAGAGGCCTTCCCTTACACTACATATTGGTGTGAGGATTTTTAACATTAAGTGGAATTAAATGCTGCTTTGATTTCATGTCAAAAGCGAGCAAGAGAGAGAGAGAGAGAGAGAGAGAGAGAGAGAGAGAGAAATACTAGTAGGGAAAAGCCTTGTGATTATCCTTTGTAACTGTTACAACTCTCACACACACTCCATAGTGCTTCTTTTCTTGCCCACTTGTTTCAGTCTTTATTTAACAATGGTCCAATGTATTCAGAGCATCTCATGACCTTCATCTCTTGTACATATTAAGATTGCACGGATATGCAAATGCTGGATAGACTAACTAACCCTATTAAATGCCCAACAATGCTCACTATGATTTGCTCTGATATGCATCATCAGCACATAACATGCATTATGGAAGCTCATTTCATATGCTGAACATATCAGCTGATCCAACAACTGTGTGTGAGGTTAATGAAGTGTTGAGAAAAACATCAGAGTGTGTATTTGTGTTATCAGTGTGTTTTGGTGCCAGACCTCTACGTATCAAAAATGATAAAGGGAAGGTACTAAAATCTAACACTTTAATACTGACAGCAGATACTGTGTATTAATCAAATAAGCTATTTTTTTTGTATTATTAATTTTACTATTATTATTGTGTATTTTTCCCTGGTATTGCTTTGTTTGCTGTGTATGATGTTTGAAAACTTGTTTTTTGGTTGTTTTTAAGTGGAATTCAACACACTGTTTCACAGCTATCACACAAACTTTACTATTCCCAGCACAAATAAACACATGAAATAGATCCTGTCTACTTACTGAGAACTTGACATTTGTGATGTACAGTCTCAACTTGCCATGATAGGTATTATCAATCATCATGCAAAGGCTACAAGACGTCCATGTCCTCTGCTAGCATATTGTACATGCTTCTGTGTTTGACTTTTATTTGTCACAGTGGGCCAATTCAAAGTTTGATCAGTTGTGTAGAGCACTAGACACTGTTTTTGAATATATTTTTTTCCTGTCCTTTGTTCCAGGGGATGAGAAAGGCCGGTGTTTTACCATAGAGTACGTGATGCCCACTAATGTCCAGATGACCTCTGAGTCCACCGTTAGTGTCCTCAGTAAGTAACTATTCACACTTCACTATTATATGCATGATGCTTCAGTGTGATGAAACTGTTCAGGCTCTCAGTGTTTAATTTGAAATGAACAGAAGCGGCAGCTAGAGGCACAATGGTGAAGGATCAAGCTGCTGTAAAGCAGGAATAAGCTGCTAAACTGGACACTTAAAACAACACTAATGAAAAAATAAAAACTTATGGTCCTTTTAACCCATACACATTTTGGGGTCTTTTGTTTTCACACATATTATTTGATATAGCACATTTTGTGTAATGTATGTTCATTCTGTTTGTTTTTTGAGTGATCCTAGAATCTGCAGAAGAAATTGGGGGAGGAAACCCAGTTTTAGCACACTAAGAGGAAAAAAATAGACCCTTGCTCAAGGATGCGAACATGGAGTCTAGTAATTTTCACTGCACTAGAGAGTCTTGCTGGTTGGTTGGGCGCCTGAACAATGGGAAGTAGGGAGATAGCCTGGGCCTCTACGCCCTCCCAGTGAACCTCATTGCTGGCAGGTTGAAGAAGTGTCTGTTACCACCATGTGTCACTGAGGGAGCACATGTCTGTCAGCAGCCCTTCCCAGGCCAATGGTAGGGTGAGTGTTGACAATAGTGTTGGCAATTGATTTCGTTAAGCCAAGTCCAAAGTCATCATATACATGACCTCAGTCTGACCCGAGCACATGTCACGTGACTCGAGTCCATACCTCTGCACTACGCTGTCATCTCTGCATCAGAGTGTATGTGGTTTATGCTATTCCTAGCCCAATCCCCACAGCCAGTCCACTCAGGTTAAGAGCTGGAATCGTATGAAATATTTAAGGGTGCCATTTTCATTTTGTAGAGACCCCCTTGCAGCGGTAACATGCATGGATACACATGAGTACTAGAAGCGTGCAGCCAAGCAGTCAGCACTACAGAGGGTGATGTGTCAACTTCAGATCTCACATCCCTTGAGTCTTCAAGCTGTAGTCCATAACTTTAAGGAAGCTCACACCAAAGCAAAGATGACTGAGCATCTCATCCAAATTGTGACAGTAGTTCCATTTACTAGCTTTTCCCAGAGCTTTTAAGCATTACTCTTCATTTTTCTAAGTGGATGGAGTTTGCTCAGTTATTGACTTAAGTATGGAACCTTTGGATAAGAGGTGGTCACAGATGGGGGGAAAATTGAAACCCTTGTTTCTATTCAAAGATGGTGAAAGACTTGAGTACGGCCATCATAATAAATACCTCCAAAGGTAAATTAGATAATCAGCTAGATATACATGTAGAGATTGTGTGAATTCCAAGTAAAGAAGAGTACATCTGACAAAGGAATAAGAAATGAAGAAAATAGATGCAGTAAGGATTTACATAGGCAGCTATTATAAGACTTAATTGGTTCCTTTCTAAAAATGTGATGAAAGTTAAAATGCAGAAAAAAATGGTGCTGATAGTGTTCTTAGTCCAGTGGTTGTGCCTTAAATTACAGTATGTAATAACTTATTCTTACCAAGGATGCACCACTGGATCTTCCGTCATCATTTTGCTTCCGAATTTAAACCCTTCTTGAATTTTCCCATGTTTCAGACTCAACTTGAATCCAAAAAGACTCACTTTTATGTTGTTTTTTTCATGCTTTAGATAGTGCTGGATGTCTACAGTAGATTGTAACTGGCAAATTTACCACACAATCCAAACTTTACCCAACCAATTAAATAACCAGTTCCATTAAGGTTATAGCCTCAGACATCTGGTCCACTTAGCTGGAAGGGTGACATTTTGTGTAATGGAGAACACAATAGGGGTCTGGAAACAAGTACCACAGACTCCCATTACTTCTGGGAGGTAGTACACCATTTGTGCACAGTAGGGAGGTCCAGCACCATCTTAATATACGGAGCCATGACCTAAACCCATGAAATGCCAACTCCACGAAGAATAACAACCAACCTCAGTAGACAACCTCATGCTGCTACTCTAAGAGAAAAACCTTCCATTAAAAGTTTGTCACAGATGAAAGTACAAAAAAACAAAAAAACAAAAACAAAACAGTATTAAAAAACAAGTTTCTCATTCAGTCTCACTCAAACCGATCAGTTCCTCTCTTTCTTCATCCTGGTTCTCTTCTCTCATTTCAGAGATGATCCGCTCTGCCACACCGTTCCCTCTGGTCAGCCTCTTCTTCATGTTCATTGGTTTTGTACTCAGTAACATCGGCCACATCCGACCACATCGCACCATCCTGGCCTTCGTTTCTGGAATCTTCTTCATCCTGTCAGGTACTTGGTTGTGCTTGAATGTGATATGTCCATTTGAGAAGGTGAACTCATGTTACAGAGTTGCTTCTGTCACCTAGATGTAAGAAGAGAACACAGTGAAACACACACTGTTATTGTTCTAATAAAACCTGTATTTACTTGAAGCACAGTTTTATTAATTGCAACAAGAGTGATGCTAATCATCCTGTATACCAATATATTTTTAGAATCTACTTCTCCACCCATAGTCATCAGAACTCTCTCTGCCTCCCATAGGTCTATCTCTGGTTGTTGGCCTGGTCTTGTACATCTCCAACATTAATGATGAAATGCTGAACAGGACCAAAACTAATGAGGCCTACTTCAGTTACAAGTACGGCTGGTCATTCGCATTCGCTGCCATCTCCTTCCTGCTCACTGAGGTAACGTCACAATGGGAAATTTGGATAATGTAATATTATATCTCACATTTCACAAGCATGTATCAAATTAACCCTTTCAACTTTTCATACCTAAGTAAACCATAATTTTTTCTCTCTTATCTGTTATGTTCTGGATTACATAGCATTTTAGATTTTAAGCATTCAGCTGCTTCTCATTTATGCTCAAATTAGTAGCTGAAGACACCAGTCTCTCTCCTGTCCTAAAACCACTCTTCTTCATGTGAGAGATGTTATCCATCATTATGACCACAGGGCAGAAAATAAATGCATCAAACACGAGGTCTATCTTCAAATCCTGTCCTTCAGATATGTATTGTGCTGTAGGAAACAGTCCCCATTATACATGATAATTTAGGGTTAATAAGCTGTGATTCATTTTTTTTATTCAGTGTCTTTTGTGTTAAATCAATTCTGCTTTTGAACAGAAAAGTGTGCGAGTTGCTTTTGGTGCTGTCAGTCATTCCTGATAATGTGACTGTGACACTGACAGGGAGTTCATTATGATCTCATTTAAAGAGCAGAGACAAAAAGAGAAACAAGAAAAAAGTCCACACACATACAGCACATGGACATACTGTACGTGCACTTGCATGAACACATTTAACTGAGCCATGATTTTTGTGTTCACTGTAGGGGGATGAGTTTTTGATTGATTGACGATTATAGGGCAAACTCATTAATAATCAAATAATTTACATAATTTGTGAAATAATTAATTCTAAAACACAACATAATAGAATTTTATAGTCTTAACTGACCTGTATTTTCTGACATGAATTTTATTTTACACTTGTACACGTGTGACAGTAAGAGAGACTGGTTAATGATGCCAACCATTAATATTGTATGGCTAATCTATCACCACCCCTTTTTTCCTATTCATAACAGAAACATAAGTATAAAGGATGTTACCAAACAAGAGTAAACTTTGTGTCCCTTTGCCCCTTCATCCCCCCTCCAGACGGCGGGTGTAATGTCGGTGTATCTGTTCATGAAGCGCTACACAGCAGAGGAAATGTACCGGCCCCATCAGGGCTTCTACCGGCCTCGCCTCAGCAACTGCTCCGACTACTCCGGCCAGTTCCTACATCCAGACGCCTGGGCCGGGCGAGGCCGCAGTCCCTCCTCCATCTCCTCTGAGGCCTCCCTCCAGATGAACTCCTCCAACTACCCTGCCCTCCTCAAGTGTCCAGAGTACGAACAAATGTCATCCTCACCCTGCTGAGGCCAAGGATGAGTAGCTGTGTTAGCACCGTAGGTGTCAATTTGATCTGCCTGGATTTTGGCATAAAATTGTCCAATAATTTGATATTTTTCAGCTTGAAACACAACAAGTCCCTTATGACCTGATTCTCTCTACCCTCCCTACTGCTGATTTTTTAGTTACACCTTTTGGTTCTGTGGGGAGTAGAACATATGGCGAACTTGAAGGTTAGCCAGTTCACGTTATTCTCAGCTGACCTGTCTTGTTCCAGGGAGAGCTGTTAGACAATAAGAGAAGAAAGAGTTTGACAAGATTGTACTTTTATGTGCTTTTTCTCTAGCTTTTAGTGACGGGTGACTGGCCATCTGCTGAACTGACCATGGTAGGGTGAAGTCATCTGAGAGGAGTAACTTTGTGTAACTTCAACCTGTAATGAGCGAATCCACTATTCGCCTGTAGTACTGCCACGATCCTGATAGCTATTTGACAGGATTACATGCTGCACATTTACAGACATGGAGAGTTCAAAAACAGGATTAGAATTGAATAGGCAACGACAGTCGGGTGACAAATTAAAGGAAAAACCTGAAAAATTAGTGGAGAAACAGGATGACAATGCCCCCATCCACAGGGCACGAGGGGTCACTGCTGTGGCTTTCACAGTCACCAGATCTCAACCCAGTTGAACACCTATGGGAGATTTTGGACTGACTTGTTAGACAGCACTCTCCACCACCATCGTCAAAACACCAAATGAGGGACTGTTTTTAGGGAGAATGGTGTTCATCCCTCCACTAGAGTTCAGAGACTTGTAGAATCAATGTCATGAAGCACTGAAGCAGTTCTGGCAGCTTGTGGTGACCCAGCACCTTACTAAGACATGTTATGTTGGTTTTTCCTTTAATTTCTCACCCATCTGTTTGTGCAATGAATGCAGAGTCTGCACATTTTTTCAAAACCAAACACTGCAGTAGGTTCAGAAAGCAGAAAATAGCCAATTACATCACCTTGGTGTAGAAGAAACAGTGGTTCTGCACAGAATGTTTCATCAGTTTGATTATAAGATTGTTGCTCAAATTGTGCAGACCTCTGATTTATAAATGTTACAATGAAAATTTTAAAACTAATTTTATCTACAAATTGCACATGTGCACCAGCTGTTTGACTGAGCACAAGCAAGTTTAACTCACATCCTCAGTTGTCACTATTCAAGTGCAGCATGCTGCAGAAAAAATGGCTTGTTGGTGTAATACACTGTAGGGATTCTCCTGCACATCGTAACAGTTTAAGACATGTTTCTGTGAAATCAGGAGCCAGAGCTCTGCTTGAATTTTCAGTGTTCAAGTATAGAGCTTATGATACACATGATGAATGTGAATTTCAACCATTCTAATAGATGATTTTAATTGACACACAATTTTGTAAACAAAGTGTTTGACTGGGGTTACATTCTGGGAGAGTTGGGTTTCTAACAGATGGTGTTTGACCTTCCATGTCAACCTCACTTCTTTCTCATCCTTCAGCAGTTTAAGTGTTGACACCAAAGGAAATGTTTGTATTGTAGGCTGCTAGTCCAGACATATGACATACATTCTATTTAAATGCCTAAATCTGAATATGCTAATGGTTATATAAACTTTTGAGTGTATTATTATAAAATCTTGTGAACAAAATCAAAAATAATGTCTTATTTACCCCCATGACCCATCATTAATAATGAGAAGGGACTGCTTTGAATCCGTGTTTCAAAGATGTAAAACAGAGAGAACATATGATTCGTGTATACAGTGGTCCTCTTAGTAATTAAAGTAATTAAATATAAAAAGTGTGTGCATTACTGCTTGATTATGCTTATCAGATTTGAGTTGTAAAAGGTTAGAAGTTCAAATAAAGAGGGGAGAAGATGGACTTTGTGTGGTTATACTGACAGGGAATTTGAGTGAGTCAGGTGGTATGAAAGACTATTTTGATACAGAGCCATTGTGAATGTATAGATGTACTGAAGGAAAACACTGCTAAATGAGAATAAAGTACCTCTCCTATAGAGATATATTAACCTAAATTATAGATCAATATTTTTCTAATTTTTCCTCTTATAATGACAGAATATTCTTAGATGTTTGACCTACAAATATACTGCAATCCTTAGTGTGCCAAGGAAAAAGTTGTATCCAGGTTAAGTGGCAAAGTATTGAATATATACATTTCATGCAGCGTTAAGTGTGAGTAAACATATTACAGAGAAACATCTGTCTTGTGCAATACTTTTATGTTTGATATATTACTAAAATTATAATTATTGTTAGTATTTCATGTTGCATGGTGTGAATTCCACATATTATTAATGGCATGCAACATTTCATCACTGCAGAACGTGTAAACAAAACATAGCTTCTTAAAACCAATAAACACAACCTGTGCCAAGCTAAACTGTCACTCTCTTAAGCACTATTCTGATACATAGACCAGTTGTATTTTGTTTATTTTAAACATTGTAAATATGAGATCATCAGTATGTATATAGACTCTAATACTTTTTGTATAGATGGCAGTACATGTAAAATATGGTTGTCCTGTTTTTGGGTAGATTCATCTGCAGTATATGTGACAGCTGCTTCGCCTCCTGCCTCACATTTAAAATGTGAGCTTTTGCATAATGTTATACTTACATAAATGTAAAGTATTCAGATGGTGTCATTGTCATACATGAAATGTCAATATCTGTGTATTTTTACAATCAGAGTCACTTTCATGGTGTTTCAAATGTGCAATGGAATATGTATACTCAAAGAAATAAAGTTTAATGGGATTTGATTAACAATAAGCTTGCCTGCTTGTGTCTCTGAAATATCTATATTATATAGTATAAGTGCAATATATATAAAGTTTATCATTATTATTATTATTAGCATCATTATTATTATTGTAAACTATTCATATTTGTTGTGTGTCATAGTGCTGGATGAATTATATTTATCACTCATTCATGAATTTCCCCTAACGAATAAATAAAGTATCTATCTATCTATCTATCTATCTATCTATCTATCTATCTATCTATCTATCTATCATCTCTGAAAATAAGATCATTGGCCAGGTATTTATACTTAATATTTTGTTGTGGTTATATCATTTTAATGGCAAAAATGAAAATTGTTATTTGTATCACATTTACCCTATTAGACCTAATTAGCCCTTAAGTGACGGCTAAAAAAAACAAAAATATAGTAGCGTAATAAGAGACATCAAAACAGCTTGAGACACCTGGATAAAAATGTGTTATGAGGGGTTCCTGTTAATCAACATCATAGGACAGCAAACACACCTGAGACAGCGGACACCTAGGCTGTCGTTTTTACTTGGGCACTGAAAACATATGAAAAAATAATTGATTATTATGTGGTTGCGGTTAATGTGCTGCACAATGTCACCCTCTATTGAGACAAAGTGGAAATGCATATCAGTGAGAACCTGCAGGTGTAGACTGAAAAACAACAACAACAACAAAAATTAAAAAATTATGAACTATTCATTATAGTCCTTCTTGGCTCTTGGTCACACATTAAACATTCCATTCCCACTAACTTGAATGATAATTAAGATAATCTGAGGTCACACTTTGCACACTAGAAAAGTCATTTGTACAAAGAGTGAATTCTCATATGGACTGTCGGGCCACATTAACGTTGCTCTCGCCTCAAACAGGGATAAAGTCAGATCTCTGCCACAGAGAGTTAGATACAGTGCCAGTGTGAAGCCCGCGCCTCTCTGACTGTGAGAGCTGGCACTCGTCCATCTGGGTGAGTGCGATGTAATGGGGCTATCAGCAGGATGGAAACAGCTAATCTGCATCATGTAAACTGAATGAGCAGTATCATCTATTGACCTGATGAGCTGGCATGTTCCCAAATTGATTGCCCCCCCACCCTCCCAACATCAAAACCACATGTTGCAAATTTCACTGTTGGTAGCAATTAATACACATTTCGTGGTAAATGCTTTCATTTAAATTTATTTAAACAGTCTGATTTATTGACTGAGTGGACACTTCTTCTCTACTGGCTGTCACTGAGATGCCCAGTGCCATTTGACAACAGCCCCACCTAGTGTCATTTCTGTGAAAACACAGCTTTCCAAGAGTCCTAGGTTTCAAGTCACAGGAAAAAACATATAAGCCTCCCAAATCCTGTGTATGACAAGAGATGTGGAGCCCTAACTCACTTCCAGAGTGGAGGAGATTAACTGATTCAATGCACTGAAAAGTGCTACTGTTTGAATCATATGGATAAAAAGAAGTCCATATATAATTGTTTTCTGATTAAAAAGCATGTAAGGCAATGTGTTGGTTTTCCTCAAGAATTATTAATAAAAGTCAGAGGTTTTCTTAATTCCCTTCCCTTCCGCTTCTTTCTTTTCTCTTTCTTTTCTCCAGATAAAACAGAAAGAACATACAAAACAGGGAAAAACAAAGGAACAACAACCAACGTTTGACAACACACTATTTCAGTCACTGGTTAAACCCAGTCAAATACACAACACTAAAAGGTATTTCATCTCTCCCCAACCCTAGACACTGGATTTTGCTTTTGCACTTAGATTAGCAGCTGAACAGGTAAACTGATTACGTGCTCTGCTTCAAGGCCCAGTATTTCAAAACATACTATACTGTGAGTTTGATTCCGTTTGTTTTGAAAAGAAAACATGCCATGTCCTTTTCTTTGAAAAACTTTCTCCTACAATTAAACTGAACAAAAAAATTTGAGTTATGTAACACATTGTATACAAGAGATGTGCATGAAATACACCTGTTATCAACTACCCTACAAAAATTGACAATAAGGGCAATTTCTGATCTTCCAACATGTGAAATAGAAAGATGCTGTGGGGTGAGAAAAGGCCACTAGGGTATTCCAGAAGTGGTTTAACAAGCCCGGACTGACTCTGCCTTGGAGTAATCCATCTTTAGTGTTGTTCCAGTCCCCTTAAAACTCAAGGGACCTGTGAGCTCAACCCTTCAGTGGTTGAAGGAGTCACTGTCACATCTTAGGACATCTTGGACATAATGGTTGTTAGGAACTTCCTCCGCACAATGTTCATTGAAAGAGAAAATAGTATGTGAGCAAACAAACAATATTTCGAGATCAATGAAAGTGGCCCATCTGCAGTTCTTCCTCCTCACATCACCATCATTCATCATGCTCAATTAGCAGGGCGAGTTCGCTCCATTTTCAAACCTCTGCATCCCATGGGCCCTGCTCCCAAGGTCGCTCTGCAAGTGGCCACTTCTGCAAGTTTCTATACACTGTATAGAAACACCGAAATGTGGTGGAAATGAGGAGCATTGAAATAGTACAGGTAATTAGAAAGTATTTGTATGTATAGTATATTGTGTCCTTAATGAGATTTTGTCTCAGAATATTGTCATACTGGCGTGTTGTTGGTAAAGTGATTTGAAATGCTTATTTGATCCACTTTTTTTCTTTTTATCTCACCCATATCTCAGCTAAAAAGCTGTTCACACTGCTTGGCTCTGCTCACAGCAGCAGATCTCTGTAGAAGATGGTGAGAAAACCAAGCTAATCAGTTCTCGCAGTTTGTGTTTTAGTCCAGTGTGTGTGTGTGCTGCCTGCAGTTCTTATGTGGAGCTGAAAAGTGGTTGTGGGTGAAGGCCGCATTAAATTGATGGATTTCTGAAGGCAGTTTG